TTCTAGTATTCTATTCGTTCGTAGTCTTACCAAGTTATCGAGCGCTATGGCCGTCTGCTCCAGTAGATCTGTTACTCCGAATTCTGTACGAAGAGATTCCAATGCTTGCTTGAAAATCTCCGTCTCATCTTGATGCATAATATTTTTCAAGTTCTGAAGGACCTCCTCTGAAGGAAATATCGGTGGTTTCGATTCTACGGGTCTCTGCGGTTCTTCATCGATGGCTCGCATCTCCTCGTCAACCTCGAGGGCTGCCACCGCGGATTCATTGATATCTGCCACACCTGTTACGCTGTCCACAGCGGGCCTATGCTTCGAAGCTTCGACCTGGGACAATCGCTTCTGCTTTTCCAACATCTGTAGACGAAGTACTCGTGCCTTCCTTCGCTGTAGGCTCTCATGTACAAGACAATGGATCTCGTTTGTCCCCACCTCGGTTGCCTCTGAGTCAAAATATGGCGCAAAGGTACAAAATACACCATAATCGAGGAGTTTGGGAGCCGGGAGTGTTCTCGTTTGCAGTGTAATGGGCTTTTTGGAGTCATCTTTGGGTTTGGTGACAGGGAGAGGTTTCAAAGTGGAGAAGAGGGGCATCTCATCAGATGGAACTGGCTGAGAGGGGATTATAGATACAAGTTCCGCTTGCTTGGTTACTAATTGCTTAGCCGAAGCCCGGTTCAAGCCTACAGTGCCCTCTCGAGGTATTGTAGAGCTGCTCCACCAATCTCCAGATGGCAGTCTCTGAACGAGAGCATACTTTCGTTTTCTTTCTTCGAAAGGCAACAAGATTTCGGCATCTCTCTCTTCGTCAGAAGCTACCACAGTGTCCCTTTTGGAACTGATGGTGTTGGCGCCTCGAGCTGCAACTTGATTCAATAGTCCATGTGCAAAGTCTACAAAACGCTGTTGGTTCGATGCCCCAACCGCAAGCAATGCCCTTGGTTGGCTAGACGATGGTAAAAGTTGATTGACAGCCCCTCTTATTATACGAAGCGGGTGTTTGCTTGATTCCTGTAAAAGAGAGCGGAGCGTTGTTTGAGCCGGTGGATTGACTTGAAAATTGAAAATCCTATCCATGAAATTGTCCGTATCAATCCTGTAAGATGTAGCTGTCAGCGCATGCAGGAATATTCCGAAAAAGCGAGCTTACGTAGACAGAACAGTAAGAATCTTGTGAGCATCAGAAGGATCGAGAGGCAGATCTTCTGCGTCTATGAATGGACTTTCCGAGCGAACTTGCTTTGCGACTGGTCTTCCATCGGCTTCACTAGTCGAGAATTCCCGCTTGCGCTTTTTGGATCCTAGGTC